AGAGTTTCAAGATAGCCAGGGCAATACAGAAAAACCCTGTCTCAAAAAACTAATCAACATGACAGATAGATAGATAGTATGCTACTGTGCCCAGCCCAAACCATGTTTTCTAATGACTGAAGTAATATCCTGTTTAGTTTTGTCCAATTTTAGAAAACATTTCATATTTGTTTATTTGTTTAGTGTGTGGGGACAGGGCATACATGCATGGTGCGTGCGGAGGTCAGAGGACAACTTTGCAGAGGATCTGTCCTCTTCTTCCCCATGGGTCCCAGAAATTAAACTCAGAATTGTCAGGCTTAGCAACAAGAATCTTTACCCACTGCACCACCTCACCAATACTGACCCATTTTTTTAATATTACTGGCTTAATTTTTTTTCAGAATTTGTACCACTAAACCTAAATATTTTGGTTTTAAAATAATTACCAAGCATGGCAGTTCTGAAATAAATATATATGATGTATGTGGATATGCTGGAAGAAAACCAGAGCAACTTGCTAAGGTATGCCAAGTGCTCACTAATCTTTGTACACTGGTTTCTAAGATTTGCAGCATTTATGAAACAAATGACTATAATTTGATTTATAATGCATGCCTGTTATTTCAGCACTGAGGGAAGAGAACTATGAGCTATAGAAAGTTCAAAGCCAGCCTTGGTTACAAAGTAAGATTCTATGCCAAAGACAAAAATGGTAATAATCATAAAACAGTCTAAAATGTGTTCCATCTATTGGAATTCCGGAGTTGCAGTTTTCTGTCCCTTTAAGTTGGTAAGCCCTATATTTTTCCAAAAAAGCAGCTTAGTTTTAAGATTATATAGTTATATGGACATTGTTCTAGAATTTTAAATATGGACTTTTGTCAATGAAATGCTGCCTTTTAAAGATATAGCCAAAATTCCCAGCTGACGGCATCCAGATGAAGGAAGACATCATAAAACGTAAGTTTCCAGAAAAATAAACCTTATTCCGTGGTAAGCTTAGGCTTGTACATCAGTGCCTCTGCATATAAGATAAACTTTAAACTCAAATGTTTTAAGCCTTCTACCATCTACCTCAAGGGTTTTTTATTTT